TGGAGTACTGGACCAACATAAACCTTTCCTCTCCAAGCTAAACATTTGCATTCAACAAAGGTAGCAGCTCTAAGGCAAGATGACTGCCAGAAGACTTAATACCAACAGATTAGATCCCTTCTCTGAGTGTAAACAGTTCATTGCTAACTTGGAGGGAAAGCTGAGCCAACACGCAGTTGGCAACAATGGAGCAGAAAAGAAATGGGCAGCTTTCAGAGATTTGGTATACAGCATCACATTTACTCATCTGGACCAGAATACTCAAAAACAAGACTGGTTTGACAAAATGATGGTGAAATTAATATTATGTTATTATATTAATAACTAATTATTAATTTGTGATCCAACCTTTCATTTCTGTTAAAACTCAACTGCTGAAAAGGTCAGTCAATCTCTGAAGGGTGTGGCTGAGTGAGATTTGCTTCTAGCAATCCAAAGTACTTCTGCAATGCCCTGAAGGCTATTTATGAGCCAAAGATACATGGTGTATCTCAGCTACTCAGTCCTGATGGAGTCACATTGATTAGTGACAAAGACATGATCCTGCAGAGATAGACTTAACACTTTCATAGTGTTTTCAGTAGACCTTGATCTATCAATGATGAAGTTATTGACCTACATACCTAAGGTTGAAGCCAATACCTCTCTAGCCAAACTTCCAACTGAAGAAGTTTTGAATGACATTAGGCTCCTCTCAAGTGGCAAAGCACCTGGTACTGATTCTCTTCCAGCTGAGATTTGCAAGGCAGGGAGTCCACTGCTCATACAAAAGCTGATGGAAGTTTTCCGGGTTATGTGGCAAGAGGAGGTTATCCCCAGGAGTTCAAGGATACTTCCATTGTCTATCTCTATAAAGGAAAGGGAAATAGGTTGTCCTGTGACAAGCACAGGATGGGAGTAGAGAGGGCTGGGGGAGGCTCTCTGTTAGTCATTGCCAGCAAGATTCTTGCCAGAGTCCTCCTTAATAGGCTGATCCTTCACCTGGAAGATGGTCATCTACCTGAAAGCCAGTGTGGCTTCAGAAAGGGCAGAGGAATAGTCAATATGATGTTTGCTACTTAACAGCTTCAGAAGAAATGCCAGGAGCAGAACAGAGGTCTGTAAACAATATTTGGCTGTTTAACCAAGGCCTTTGATACTGTCAGTCATGAGGCCTTGTGGAAAATGATGTCAAAATTTGGTTGCCCAGAGAAGTTCATCAGTATTGTATGTCAATTTCATGATGGCATGCTTGCATGAGTTCTGGATGATGGTCAATGCTGTCATGGTTTCTCAGTTACCAATAGAGTGAAGCAAGGCTGTGTGCTTGTCCCTATGCTTTTTAGAATGATGTTTTCAGCAATGTTGTCAGATGTCTTCAGTGAGGACAAAAATGATATCAAGGTCAACTACTGTACTGACATTAAATTATTTAACTTGAAAAGGCTATAAGCCAAGACTAAAGTGGAGGGAGTGTTGGTGCATGATTTTTTGTTGGCAGATGATTGTGCACTCAATGTAGCCTCTGAGGCTGAGATGCAACAAAATATGGACAAATTCTCTGCTGATTATACTAATTTTGGCCTAACAATTAACACCAAGAAAACAGAAGTTCTCTACCAGCCAGCACCACACCATCCATATGTGCAACCATTTGTTAAAGCAAATGGAGAAATTTTGAATAATATGGATAAGTTCACTTGCCTTGGCGGTATACTTTCCAGGGATGTACACATAGATGATGAGGTTGACACACACACTACCAGAGCTAGTGGGAGAGAAGAGGTATTAGACTGCCTACCAAACTAAAGGGCTACAGCTGTACTGACCTCATTGTTGTATGCCTGTGAAACTTGGACAGTACACCAGCACCATACCAGGAAACTGCCTGAGCCACTAAAAAGTTAAATGACTTCCCCAGGGTTAACAATTAGTATGTATTAAGATGCAAAGCTTAAACCCACGCTTCTTTGAGTCCAAGGCCACCCCTCTATCTACTTTGCCATGTGGCTTCCCCAAAGGTCATTGTCCAGTCTTCCCTTTGATGGTGGAGAAATGGATGCTTATTAATACAGCTAATGGTATACATCAGAGCTGTTAAACACTGGACCAACCACACTCCTGAGCACAACCTGAACCAGATTAAAATCCAATTGGGAAATACTTAAAAAAAAAGTTAAAATACAATAGTGTAGATAGTGTTAATATGTGGTTTATTATGTCAATATGAGGTTGCAGGGATCCTTATGTATAGTTCAGTGACTTTTTTCTATTTGAGTTTGATACCACTGATATACGTTGTCAGATGAGGTTTTTATGCTTTGTTATTTTTATTTAACTGATTTTCTTTGAAATGAATTGCTTATCTAGTTATATTGAAGGCATTTTCAAACTGAGAATTCTCTGAACTGATGAAATTGAATGCCTAAACGCTGTCAGTTTTCCTGCCTTCCTCCACCTCCCTCACAAAAAGGACTTCTTAGGCAAAGAGTGGGTTTTAGTGTTGAAAGTGAACAGTCATGAGCTCTGATCAGTCGAAGAGGGGGGGAAGTCCTCCATATGAAGCAGGTAGAACAAAGAGATAAGCAAGCAGTACATATTGTTTCTCTTCCTATGCCTGTTTATGGGAAAGTTTAATCTTAAGAGTCATATAGGTAGATAGGTAGTGTTCACAGATTAACTGGAATCTTTTTTTTTGTGTGTGTGTAAAGGAATTTGACCTTATGAGGAGATTGGATATAACATGGGCTGAGACAAAAATAGGTGGGGGCTTAGTTGGGGGGGTTGGCAGGGGAAACCATGAGAGAACATCTGAGTATCATTGGGGGTGGTATTAAATGGCATATGAGTTAAAGGAAGAATATGAGCAAGGAAGAGTAAAACTGAATGAGGTTTGCACTGACTTCCTCCCTTCTGGCAAGGACACCAAGTAGAGAATGAAGCTATGTTAAAATGATGAATTGTGAAATGCCCAAATTCCTCTATGTCCCTGGGAGGTTATAAGAGTAGGGGTCAGTTAGAACTAACAATTTCTGCTTTCTTATTTAGTCTAGGAATCATGATTTATCCTTTTGCCATACATATGCCTCACTACCACTGCATTTTTCATTTAGGCCCACTCTGCTCATTGACTGTGTGTGTGTATGTGTGTGTTGTGCTCCCAAGCTTTCTGGTGACTGTTTTGCACCAACTAATCAGCTATCCCTTCTTAGTAAATACCTTGTCTTAAAAGGCTAATTAGGGCTTGCTGGGTAATTGTTCATTGGGAGCACTTCAGTGGGGCTCATAAGCAATTGTACTAGAAACTCAGCCCTTCAGTGTGACTCTGAGAGCCCTGAGAACAACAGTAGTCAGCCCTGATCTGGGAACCCCAAACTTTGAACTTGAAAGTGAGCTGGAGGAGTAACTCCAGAGTTGCTACATATAAATGCTTTTTTGGGAGGGGAGGGGATGATCAAGATTATTTAGTATCAGCCAAACTTTCTAAAGACTATTTTCCCCATCTAATATTTTTATTATTTTGTGAGGTGATATTGTTCATAATCTTTCATCATTCTCCTCTGTAATTGTTTGCAGATTACCTTGGATTGTAGTGTTGTGCTTGACTTCCATGTCTTTCCACTTGGCAAGGAGATCAAGTGTTGGCTTATTCGAGTAGTTTCTTGGTCCTTTTAGACTCTTCACTGTAGTGACTGCTTTGCATTGGTTAAACTTTTCCAAGAAATTAAGAGTAATCAGAATCAATGTCTCAAGTTTTTTCCATTTACAATTTTGGGAGTAAACAGCTTGTTTAAATAGACAGAGTTGGAGCTGCTATAATTGCCTGTAGTTTCTTCTCATATTTATTTTTCCTTCTAATTTTGTGTTAATTTTGACCTTTGACCCACTGATGATTTGACTACTTATAGACAGCTGATTCTCATATGACTTCTATATTTATAATCAGTTGTTACTTGTCTGTTAAGATATACTCAATTTCATTTTTGATGAGATTATTCATGCTTACTGTGTCCAGCTCCTTCCAATTCTTTTCTTGAAGTACCGCTGATGGACAGATGTGAACTTTATAAGCAATCTACAAGTCTTTGCCCTCTTTCTTAATCTTTAACCATGTTTTTCAACATATTTCCCTAATTTCCCACACAAGGCACTAAGCATCAAGATTTATGTTGAAATGGTTTGGAGTATCTTGCCGAGTTTTTCATGGAATTTCTTTTCTTTATCCTCTGTAGCAGAATGTTGACATATAAGTTGTAATTATCATCAGGGTGGTCTTTTTTACATATGCTCATCGTGATCATTGTTTCTTATTGCTTTTGAGTAAATAAGAAGAGCAATTCTACCAACTCTTTTATTTGACTCTTTGAAAAGAACTTGGGAACCATCCTTCCATTTAGCTATAGTTATTTTATGTCTTCTGATTTTGTTTTTTGCAAGAATGTCAGTATAGATGAAGTTCAGTTCTTCTGGGAACACATAGGTTTGGGACAAAAATCTCACACTTTGAGCAACAATAGTAAACTTAATGTTTTTTTTTTAAACTTGGAGGGTGACTATAAGAGAATAGCATAGTCCTGTAAAAATAATGTTGGAAATACTAAGCTGAAAATGAACTGAGACTGATGAGGGAAATGAAAGAAAATAAAATAATGGGTGCTCTTTTTAGCTATATTGGGAGAAAAAATGATCAAAGAAAAGAGAAGACATTTTGGGATGGGTGGGATAGTGATAATTAACAACAGAAAGAAGATAGAGCTGTTCAATTTGAATTTTACTTCCATATTTTCCACCAATGAGGATGACTTTTGTGCTGGAAATGATAGAACAAAAATGACCAACAGACAGTTGATATCAACATGTGTGAGAAAATAGTAAGAGAGCAACTGTTGCCTTTGATAAATTTAAATCATTGGGGGCAGCTAGGTGGCATAGTAGATAGAGTACCAGCCTTGGAGTCAGGAGGACCTGAGTTCAAATCTGGCCTCAGACACATAACACTCACTGTGTATGATTCTGGGCAAGTCACTTAAACCCAATTGCCCCACCAAAAGCAAAAACAAACAAACAAACAAAAAAAAGGAAGGATAAATTTAAATCACCTGACCCAGATGAACTATATCATCAGGTACTGAAAGAACTGGCAAATGTGACTAATGAGTCACTGTCAAAAGTCATTTGAAAACATGGCTTTAAAAAAAATAGCTTTCATAAAAAAATATTTACTTCTAAGAAACAGCGAGAACAAAAGTACAAACATTTTCCCCCGACCCTTCAGTGACACATTCTCTCCTATATCACCTTTGTTTTATGGGAGAGTAGACTCAGACTTAGAATAGTTTCTACAGTTCCACCAAGTTCCCATTGATGAGTCCTCGCCTCAGGGTGTAATCCTGAAGGTCAATATTTGCTCCTGAGGGCATTGGTTCTGGGCTGGTTGCCAAACCTGACATGGACTCCAACTCCTAGATTCCTGGAGGCTCACTCTCCTGAGAAAAGGAGAGAGGAGGGAGACCACCCACATCATGGGTAGCCCATTTCTCAGACAGTACTGGCTGTCCAGATGGTGGTGGTGAGGTCATTGCTTTGACTGAAGATTTCCAAATATTTCTTCAAGTTCCTTGATTGATTTAGCTCATAATGCCTATCCCTGAAAGAATAGTTCTAGGAGCCAAAACCCCAGGAGAACGAAGATTTCCAAAGGACCATGTAGATAAACAAACTAATATGAGTGCAGGCAATGATTTTGGACCAAGAGAACTCTTCACCTTAATAGAGGAAAATAATCTCCCTGTTGGGTTTCAAACTCTATCAGAACAGGCAGAAGGATGAGGCTTCATGAGCTGATAGTAAAGGTTCAGAAACAACATGAACATTAAAGCAAACGCATGTTTGTTACCAGCACCTTCTAAGGTGGTAGGGATTTATCTTCACTTTAGGTATCTATGTCCACATATCTTCCCTCCTCTACATATCTTTCTTCTGACCTTTAAGACCAGTGATGATGCTATTTCTAGGGATCCCAGAGCTACAAAGCTAAATGCTGCCCAGAAATTTAACTCAAATCTCACCTTCTCCAGGAAGATTCTGTTGACTAAACTAATCACCCCATATGTACCCTCGAGCCCTTATGTATTTAGTTTGTCTTGTTTTAAATCATACTTTTGAAGGTATTATTTTTAGGCATCTGTGTGTGTGTGTGTGTGTGTGTGTGTGTGTGTGTGTGTGTGTGCTGCCCATCTGTGAGATGCTACCTGAGGGCAGGGACTGGGTATCTCCCCAGTGCTCAGGATAGGGCTCTGAACATAATAGGTCCTGGTTAATGGTGCTATGACTGACTACCTGAACCTAGTGAGATAACTAATGTTTAGGAAGAGGGGAAAGTGGGTGTATATGAAAACACATAAGAATTACTGTACAATTACACTAAGGAAGTTACTTTAGGCATTGGTTCTGAGAACTTTATCAACCTCTGTAGCATATGGAAAAGAACATTGATCTTGAAATTTGAGGACATGAAACAGAATCCTGCCTCTTCCACTTAATAGCTGTGCAACTCTGAGAAAGTTATTTAACCTCTCTAAGGCCTCACATTTCCTTGAGGAAGTAGAACACAATGACTTCTATGACCTTTTATCCTGAAACCTATAATCCTCTACTGGACTGCCTGTGAGGAGCAGATAAAAGCTGAAAGAAACTTCTGGGTTAATGTTTGTAAGACTGACCCATTCCACTATTGTTACAAAGCTATCTTGGAGGGGGAGGGATTATTAATGAGTCAAGTGAGACTATTTTGTGATAGAATCAGGTAACTCTGGAAGAGTATAATATTTCTGGATGACTTTCTCTGGGAGTCAGCTGTGTTCCTTGAGTATGTGGCCTTAGGGAAGTCTTAAGGGAAGAATAGCTACCTGAGGTATTGAATCTGGAGAACACTGAAAGTTTGTTGGTGATGACTGTGTCACATCATAGTCAGTGTCAACTGAGTACTTAACAATACTTTCTGAGCCATTCTCTCTCTGGGTATGCCTGTATCAGGGGTTATAGCAACTTAGCAGTGAGAGATTTGACAGCATTATCTAAAACCCTTCCATTCAAATTACAACCACTAGAGCCTGTGTGTCCAGGGAAGCCTGGTTATCTTCATAGCCATCTGGTGGCCCATGTGTCTTGTGTGGAGTAGGGGGAGGTACTCAGTAAGTCATCCCTAGGACTGTCTTGCCATATGGTCCCAAGAATTAGAAGAATGCATTTCATGACACTCAAGAGCAACAACAAAAAATTGACCAAATGTTCCCTACCTACAATTGTGGAAGAGCACGAATCAATTGGGGCACAAAAATCATAGGAATGAAAACTCAAGACCCAGATCCTATTATCAAGATGAGAGTCTGGTGTCAGTCTTATTCCCTCTGTGGACCCCTAGAAGTTCCTGGAGCCCCATGGGCCTTGGAGGCTGGCCCTTCAGCTGCTCCTGAAACTGTGGACTGAAGGTGGCCAGAGAGATCCCTGAGTTCTAGGACCATGTGGCCCAACAGGGTTCTTACATCTTGCATGTGACGGAGTAGAATTTGCATCTGGTGGTTAAGGTGGGGATCTTGCATTGTTAGGGGAGGTTTGGAGCATGGACCATCAGAAGGTCGGCTCTCTGAAGAATGGGGCCTGGACTGAGGTGGTCTCTGGGAATCAGGAGGACCTGGTTTTGGAACTGGTGGCTTTTCAGGAGCTGGATCTGAAGTAGATGGAGCTGTTGTTCTGGGAGGGCTTCTTGAAGAAGAATCTATTAGAAGACACAAAGTAGAAGTCAGGGTCACAGTGTTGTAAACTGGCAGCAAGTCGATACAATTTGTCTATGGAGCAGAAAAATAACTTTACTAATAACCATGATTAGTGCATTAGAGAGAAGGGGAGACTAAGGAAGAGAACTAAGAGTGTTTTTTTGTTTGTTTGTTTTTTGCTTTTTCCCCTTCACAGGACTCTGAATCTGGATAAATGAAGTTCTCCAGAGCTTTCTACCATCCCCTTTTACTTCTGTATAGCCAATTCCCTGGGAGAGTGTCACTCCCATTCCTTGCCCACCCACTCTCTGTCCCCCACACACTTACTCTGCACCTGAATCTCAAGCCTGAGGCTCTGTTTCCGGATCCGGCCATCCTCCGTGGCTGTCTCACACCAATAAGACCCAGAATCTCCCAGCTGCACTTCTGGGAGCCTATATTTTGGGGACCTGTCTTTGGCCCGAACCATCCTGCCATCTTTATAGAAGGAGAAGTGAAGCAGAGAGGCTGATCTCTGGGGGCTCAGCTTTGTCTCACAGCTCAAGGTCATCTGGCTCCCCTCCTGGGGCTTTGTGGAGGGAGTTGCTGTAATTGTTGGAGGTAGAAACAGCTCTGAGGAGAAAGCAGGTGGTTTAGGAGGAAGTGAGAAAGGAGAGCTATGAGGATGGGGGCGGGGCTGGTAAACACAGCCTATACCCTGATATATGAAGGGCAAGCAGAATTCCCACAGTCCCCTCCCCAACTTTGAGATTTCTTCCCATTCCCTGCCCTTTCTCCTGCTTTACCTCTCTCAAAAAGGCCAAGATACCTCTGTTCAGCTTTGAGTGACTTGTTAGGACCACTATCCTTTTTAGACTGTGGTCTCCCTAAGGCTCATGTCTTCGAGTAGATATAGTTCTTTTTTTTTTTTTTTTTTGGTTAGGCAATTGGAGTTAAGTGACTTGCCCAGAGTAACGAAGCTAGTGAGTGTTACGTGTCTGAGGCTGGCTTTGAACTCAGTTCCTCCTGACTCCAGGGCTGGTGCTCTATCCACTGCACCTCCTAGCTACCCCAATATGGTTCTTCAGAGGTAGATAGATAGATAGATAGATAGATATGGATATGGATATATAGATACACATATCTATATATGTATCTCT